AGAGAGAGAGAGAGAGAGAGAGAGAGAGAGAGAGAGAGAGAGAGAGAGAGAGAGAGGAAGAGTGATGTTACAACGATTCGTTCACACTGATTAAAGCGAAACGCGCTTCTAAGATTCCTCTAATCTTCGAGCAAAATGAGTTTCGAAGCTGCGACTGCTCTGTAGCACTTGAAAACATGACTGCACTTGGAATAAATTTCCGGCTCGTTCGACCGAGCAGCAAAAAGATGACAATCTCCCTGGCGTGAAACCTTAGTTGTAAATCACTTCAAGATGACAGGGTGTTCCACTTTTACCGAGTTATTTTATTATTACAATAATTATTATTTTATTTTTTGAGGAAACGTGTTTCTCTCTCTCTCTCTCTCTCTCTCTCTCTCTCTCTCGCACAGAAGAGAGGCAGGGTAGGGAGAAGAGGAAAAGCGTGCGTGAAAGATAAGCAGTTGAAGCAACACGTAAAAAAAGGATTTGCTGCAGCAGCAAACTAATTTGTTACATATGGACAGTTAAACATAATTTGTTGTGTTAGCTACTTTTTCTTTGCTGCAGGAATCTATTTCCTTGCTATGATAACAAGAAAATTTTCTCCTACAGTAGGAAAAATGGCTAACGCAGCAAATTTGCTATAGATGGATAACTAAACATAATTTACTGTTTTAGCTACTTTTTTGTTGCAGAAGCAGATTTTCTTGTTATCCTAGCAAGGAAATTGGTTTCTGCAGCAAAAAAAAGTGGCTAACACAGCAAATTAGGTTTAGTTGTTCATATGTAGCAAATCTTTTTTCCGTGAAGGAGAGGAGTATTTTCGCGCACGAAGAAAAATAATTTTGCTCTTTCAGCAAAATCATTGTTGCTACTGCATATTCGTAGTGACATCAATAAAATTTAGTTGACGTAACTAATTTTACAAATTATTCGTTATCAGCGCAGAAGTAGTTTCGTTGCCAGAATAGAAAAAATTTATTGAGTGTATTTGTCCTAAAAATCACGTTAATTTGCTGTTGACGCAAAATAATGTATCCTTAGCAAATTGATTTGCTATCGGAGCAAAACTGCAACTGCTTATATAAATTCATCATGGCTGTTATAGCAGAATAATTTGTAGATTCAGCAAATTATATCCAGCAAATAATGATTAGTACTCTTAGCAAATATTTTTGCTGTCCATATAAACGAAAAGATTTTGCTAGACTCGCAGAAAATTTGCTGGGCTAGCAAATTATTTTTCTCTGTGTACTACATATTCGTAGTGATATCAAAAAAATTTAGTTGACGTAAATAATTTTACAAATTATTCGTTATCAGAGCAGAAGTAGTTTCGTTGCCAGAATAGAAAAAATTTATTGAGTGTATTTGTCCTAAAAATCGCGTTAATTTGCTGTTGACGCAAAATAATGTATCCTTAGCAAATTGATTTGCTATCGGAGCAAAACTGCAACTGCTTATATAAATTCATCATGGCTGTTATAGCAGAATAATTTGTAGATTCAGCAAATTATATCCAACAAATAATGATTAGTACTCTTAGCAAATATTTTTGCTGTCCATATAGTAACGAAAAAATTTTGCTAGACCAGCAGAAAATTTGCTTGGCCAGCAAATTACTTTTCTCTGTGCGCGAGTCAGGGGGAACTGGCGCGCGTCTTCTCGGCCGCCGCGGCTACTGGCGCGATTTCTTCTACCCGCGTGACTTTTGTCCGATCGATGTGCAAGGAGTTAGTTTTCTCCGGCGTGTATGTGTGTATGTGTGTGTGTGTGTGTGTGTGTATCGTCATCCCCACTGTATCATTCCTGCGCACGTACTCGGCCCACGTGCGAACCGCACGTATCTGCGATACGTACGTCGTACTTGGGTGTCGCGCTTGTCCGCACGTAAAGACCTACGCGCACTTCCATCCCACACACGCACGGATTTACACGCATATGTACTGAGAGAGAGAGAGAGAGAGAGAGAGAGAGAGAGAGAGAGAGAGAGAGAGAGAAAGAGAGAGCGCGCGCAGACGCGTTCATGTGTACACCGTCAATACGTAGGTGTTTACAGCAACGACAGCAACAGGTTCGAGCATCGAGTGGGCGCCGCTCTTTGCTAACGGCTACGTTTCCCTCTCCTCTACTTCCTGCGCCTGTAAGCGGACGATTTAGCTTCGAATCCTCGGAATGCTACCCGAGTGTATGAACTCTCGCGCGCGCGCATAACATCCTTACACACACACACACAGAGAAAAAGAGAGAAAGATATATATATATATATATATATATATATATATATATATATATATATACACCAGAGCGTACGGTTAAACTATTTGCAAAACTAAAGCGCGGTCACCTGTTCGTGAAAGAATCGACGGTGTCAAGAGTGACACGAGATCGCTGAAGTGGGTCGACGGAATTTTTTAGTTTCACGCTTCAGCGGGGCTCGGTGTATGCGAGACAGACGAAATGTACGCGATCGGCACTTGAGAAATGGTACGAAGCAGTGGAAAATAGTATGAAATAGTACAAAGTACTATACTCGCGATCGCGATCGGGATAGACTTCAGGGGTCCTATTCTGGACGCACAGGAAACGTTAAGCGCGCCGTTTTAATTCCAAGTCCCGTTTTTCTTGCATGAGCGTCTTGTATAATATTGCTTCAGCGTGATCAACAGAAAGGCGTATTTAGCAATCGACACGCTCCCAGAATAAGGCCTCGGGGGTCTTATTCTGGATAGTATAGAGAACGTCGAGCACACAGAAGAATGCACATTGCATTCAAGTAAATGTTACTTGCTTCAAGTATTTCACAAGTTTATCATATCCGCAAATCTATTATAAGTTCATTTAAAAAATGCGTTAAAAATGCATTCTGAATCGCGGCAAGAGTTCGACATTTCAATCAAGAATGTAAAATTAAAAATTAAAAGTTTATTAATGCTACAAAGAGTCGAACTAATCTTTTTTCGATGGTTTTATGATATTTGTGTAAAGAGAATAGATTCTTTTTTTGAGCACACGATAACGAGTTTTTTTTCAAATTTGATGAACATATTTAAAGATTATTATGAGAAAATATTCTTTGTTGAAGACAAATATTACGAGAAAAAAGAAAACTGAGTAATTGCTTTTCTTAGCAGTAGAATGATATTTTTATCTGAGTTTGATTCAGAGTTTTGTTTTTTTTATGCGAGCGTCACGTATAACGTTGCTTTGTCTTTAGAATCAGAAAAGTATATTCGATTTCAAGTCACTCAACATTTAAACGATTTCTGGAGCAACACGAATCTCTTGGAAAGTTTAAGATGATACACACAGAAAAGTATTATTCTACAGTTAAAAGAAGCGATTACTTCGTTGATCTTCCTTCTTTTAAATACTCTAGTTATCTTCGATAAAGAATATTTTCTTCACGATAGTATTCAAATGTATTTATCAGAAATTTTAGGAAAGCTCATTATTATGTACCCAAAAGAAGAGGATTTTTCTTCTCTTTACAAAAACGTTGGAAAAATTTATCAGAAGAAAAGTTGGTTCGACTCTAAGCAGCAAACAAATTGAATTTTATTTGATATTTTTCAAAATTCCTGATTCAAATGTTAAGCTTACTAGAATTCAAAATGCATTTTGAGCAAGCATTTTGTTGCTTATGATGAACTTATGATGGACTTGCGGATATATAAAGTCTATATGAGTCTTGAGACAACTCAAACAAAAAAATTTCCAGAAAAAATTGAGCACTAGCACAAAATTACACTGAGGAAAAAATTATCTTAAAATCAACAAATATTTCTTTGATGGATTAACATATTTGCTTAAATCTAAATTCTCTTTATTTAAATCAAATATTGTTTACTTGATTTAAGTAAACAATATTTGGTTTAAATAAAGAGAATTTAGATTTAAATAAATATGTTAATGGCATCCATCAAAGAAATATTTGTTGATTTTAAAGTAATTTTTCTCTCAATGTAGCAAATTTTTACTGCCTATATAGGATTTATTAGATAGTAACTATTCAGAAACTTGATAGAAAAATATTGGCCAGATTGTTTGTTAGTCACTAAAAACTAGGCGATAAAAATAGTAACTAAATATTGGATAATTTTTCTGTCTTGTAAAAACTCGGAAAAAATATTGGCCAATGTGTCCTGGCCAGTCATTGGCCAGAGACTAGGCAAGAAAAAATAGTAATTAAGAATAAAATTACAGCCATCTCAATAATATATTTGAACGTGCAGACTCAATCTCCTGAAACATCAATTTTATATTATTTTTCTATTGAATAATAAAGTATAACACTTTACAATATAGCGCCGGACGATGAAAACTATTTGGCAGAATTTTATACAAAAAAGCTTGATTAGGAACTGATGAAAAACTGGTCAGAAATTGATCATTGACCGACTAGTCCAATCTGCTATCGAAGCAAGCGACGCTTGAACCGGCCAGAGACTAGCCAGGAACCAAAATTCCTGACCAGTTGCTGGCTACTGGAAGGGGTCGCTCCATCTATTTGGGAAATAATCATTTACTCGAACGCAGATTCGTTCGCGCGAAACATTAACGAACTTTCGGAGGCTCGCGTCGCTCTCAGCATTTAAAATCGACGCCGAGCTGCTCGATCGAGAGAGTATCGGTCAGGGGATCGACAGTATCGGAGTAGGGGACACCGATATCGTTAACTTTCGTCCGCGCGCGGCCACCGTCGAGCATCGTCTCCGTTCTTCCGGGCGTGCCGCTGATGCTCGTTCTCGACTTTAAGGAAATGCAAATTGCATAGTTACACGCGCGCCGATCGGCCCGCGACTGGAATGGGATGGGATCTCCGGCTCAGGAACCGGTGAAGAGCGAAATCCCAGCCCGGTCGATCGGCAAAACTTCACCTGGACGATCGACGAGCTTACCCCGACTTGGTACAGCACTCTGGGCTCCTCGTGCGTCAATCGGTGCTTCCGGTTACGATTGATCAGGTCGATCCGGACGGTCGCCTCGTCGAATTCCTGCAGTTCGGCGAGGTACTTGCTCTCGTCGAAGAACAGATACTCGTTGAGGTACTCGTCGTCGGTCTCGTCGAACGGCACGAACAGCTCGCACTGGCTGCGACGGACGACGCCGACGATCGCCAGGGTGTACAGCAGGTTCTCTATCATTTTGCCGGTCATCGTATATGTCACGGGGGGACGTTTGGATTCCGATCGAGAGAGAATATATCCCGCGACGCGGGATCGCTCGTCCGGTCGGTCGATCGGGGTGATCGCGCGGCGGTGTTCGCGGAGGGAACGCGTCGCTGTGTGTTAGGTATTACTCAAACCGGTGGGCAAGAGGGGAGTACGATAAAAAGAATGGAAGGGATTCGACGATACATTCACCAGGTCTTATTCGCGCGACAAGGCGAGTACGAAACGAGCGAGAGGAGGATCGCGAGAATACTCATAGTACTCGAGGGCACCGAAGGGTTTATTTTTACTCGCGCGGGTTACTCTCGCGGAAGGGAGGACTCGCGGTGGACTTTTAGAAATGAGTACTTCCCACTTGGCCAGCTACTTGAAGTCCATCCTCGCGGTCATTTTTCGATCGGTAGGGGATACCCTCGCGAATCGGAGCGAGGAGATCGTCTCCCTTTCGGTATCGATAAATCGAGAAATCTCTGCTCGCGTTTTCTCTTCAGCGCCGTCCTCAGTCCCTCCTCATCTTCCGCGCGCTTCTCCGCCGATTTCCTGGGGGGATCCGCGGGACTCCTTAAGAGGATAATCGATCCGATCCTGGTCCCCTCGGTCCAAATCAATGGAGCGTGTCGCGCACTCGCGCACTCTCGCGCACTGAATCGTCGGCCGAATTACTTCTGGTATCGGTCTGTCGATCGATCGGTCGATCGATCGATCCGGCTGCTTCCACCTGGCGGTTTTTCCCGTTCGCAGGAGCGCGCGGGGGCCCCCGTCGTCTCGAGAATGGCGAGATCGGTCCGCGCGCGCGCGCGCGAGGCTACGAGTAAAACAGAATGTCGACGATATTACGACGAGATCAGCCTATGCGAAGGTATGCCGTCCGCTCGACTGGACTCTTAAAAGCCAGAAGTAAAGCATGAATGGATGCCCCCACCTCTCCACCCTTCGCCCTTCTCCTGCCTCCGCTCATTCTTGAGACTGCTCCTGTCCCCCCACTCTTTTTGTCTCTTACGTCATCCCCACCAGTCTCCCCCCGGCCTCTCTCTCTCTATCTATCTATCTATCTATCTCTCCTCCGAACGTTTTCATCGTGTCTGCGCTGGTAGCCGTCGCCGCCGTTCTCGGGACACGACACATCGTTGCCGTTTGCCCGTTGTCCTTGCAATCGCATCCTCTCTACCCCCGGCTTCTCTCCGGAGCGCGCTCCACTCCGCGAGAGCGTTTTAACGGGTGTCTTACTCTTTCTCCGGAGGTCGACCCGTTTGCGTTCTGTTTTGCCGCCGCCGCCGCCGACTCCGACAAACCAGCCGGCATCGCGAGAGCCGTTGCGTTTTCTGTACAATAATTTGCATCGCGCGCGAGCGCGCGCCCGATCTTCCGTTTCCTCGGCCTGTTGAGCCTGCATTTGATACCTGCCACCTGAAACTTGTCTCATGTGAGACATTCGCCTGTTTGTTCAAAGTTAGATCCAAGTCTTCCAGTTGGATCATACGATATGCGTTTATACGTTTATATTTGTAGTCTCAATTCAACTGAGAACTTCTCATCTGACTCAGATCAGAAAAAATATGTCTAAGGCAAGTTTCAAGTAACGATTATCGATTCAAGTGCGACTATTAATTTGGGTGCGTATCGTTGCTTGAAACCTTTCTCAAGTGAGGCGCTCAAATTTGAATTTAGAATTAGAACTGAATTTTTTTCTTTAATTGAATCACACTTTGCATGTGACGTACAATTCTGCTGAAAAATACATTTGATTCAAGTTTCAAATATGATTGTCTTATTTGACACTTTTTTCAAGTGAGAAATATTCAGAGCTAAATTTAAAGTTAGATGAACATTTTTTAGTTACATTACGTTACATGAAACATATATATTCTAAAAAAACTCACATCTAACTCTAAATTCAATTCTTACTATCTAAAGCTAGATACCTGAGGTTCGATACTTGAAATCTGTCTCAGGTGAGATGCTCAGATTTAAATTGAGTTAGATCTGAATTTTCTAGTTGAATCACACGTTACATATTTGCAATTCCATTGGAAAACACATCTTATTCAAAATTCAAATATGATTATCTCATTTGAAATTTTTCTTAAGTGAGACACTTAGATTTGTATATAAAGATGGATAGATAGATAAGAATTGTTTAGTTGCAATTCCACTAAAATCCTCACATTTAATTATAAATTCGAATATGTCTATCTCATTTGAGACAAGTTTCAAGTAACGACTTTTAATACGATCCTTAGCGACGTACCTGCTTTCTCTACGAATGACTCGGTAGCTCTTGCCTTCATCTGATATTTCTCTCTGTTGTCATCGATTCTCAGTTTTCAGCACACCTGCGTGCGAGAGAAAAATGCACAATTATGAGAATGCATTGATGTATGCACGGAAATAATAATTTGCTGTAGCAGCAAACTAATTTGATACATATGGACAGTTAAATATAATTCGCTGTGTTAGCTGCTTTTTCTTTGTTGCAGGAACCTATTTTCTTGCTATGATAACAAGAAAGTCTGCTCCTACAACAAGAAAAGTAGCTAACGTAAAGTAGCAAATTTGCTACAGACGGACAACTAAATATAATTTACTACTTTAGCTACTTGTTTTGTTGCAGAAGCAGATTTTTTTGTTACCATAGCGAAAAAATTGGCTCCTGCAGCAAAGAAAAAGTGGCTAATACAGCAAATTATGTTTAGTTGTTCATACACTGAGAGAAAAATTATATTAAAACCAACAAATATTTCTTTGATGGGTGCAATTATATATCTCATGCAAAATGTGTGTCAATTAATATATTTACTTAAATCTACATTCTCTTTATTTAAATCAAGTATTGTTTACCTGCACGGAGAAAAATAATTTTGCTCTTTTAAAATCGTCGTTGCTACTGCATATTCGTAGTGACATCGATAAAATTTAATTGACGTAACTAATTTTACAAATTATTTGTTATCAGAGCAGTAGTTTCGTTGCCAGGATAGAAAAAATCTGTTGAGTGTATTTGTCCTAAGAATCACGTTAATTTGCTATTAACACAAAATAATGTATCCTTAGCAAATTGATTTGCTATCAGAGTAAAACTGCAATTGCTTATATAAATCGGTCATGGTTCTTATAGCAAAATAATTTGTAGATTCTGCGAATTATATCCAGCAAATAATGATTTAGCAAATCTTTTTGCTGTCCATATAATAACGAAAAGATTTTGCTAGACCGGCAGAAAATTTGCTGGGCCAGCAAATTATTTTTCTCCGTGTGATTTAAATAAACAATATTTCATTTAAATAAAGAGAATGTAGCTTTAAATAAATATATTAATGGCACCCATCAAGGAAACATTTGTTGATTTTAATATAATTTTTCTCTCAGTGTACGTAGTAGATCTTTTTTTTCCGTATGCGTTTGTGGAGACTGAATGGGGTCGATCGATTAGTCGATTGATTATTTTCACCGCGATAACACGGCGCACCTTCGAGAGAGCAAAGAGGAAAATTAATAACGGTGTACGTTTGCAATTGCAATTCCACTATGTCCACTATATATTGGTGTCGGTTGTTACAGGTAAATTGTACGCGGTGTTTGGCAAGAGGCAAGGCCGCGTCATCTCCGCGGACAGTGCTCATGGCTTCGGCGGGCATTTCAGAGTGTTGGCCGTCTTACCTGTCCAGGAGAGTTTCCATCTTGCGAGAGAACTGCGGACGCAAACGTCTGGATTGGCCAGCCCGCAACTAGTTTTTAGTCATTGGGAGGTGAGTTGTCGAGCGCATTGTGCTCTTTCGCGGATTTTCGCTAGTACTCGGTAGTATCTTCAGGGCTGCGTTTCAAAACTCTACTCCGAGTAGCGGAGTTAACTCAACATCGTCCTAAAATGTGGTGTAACATATTACACGCAAAAAAATGATTTAGTAATCATATTTAGTAATATATCAGCTAAACCGCGGTAGCTGATTCAAACTTAGTCAAAAGGCTAATCGTTTAGCTGTTACTGTTAAGAATTGGCTATGACAGCTAAGATGCATTCGCTATGAAATATAAATACTCGTATATTAGGTGACATTAAAAATGCACATTATTTCAAGTAGCTAAGAAAATAGCGGTTATTTCTAAATTTCTTATCGTATGCATATATTAAAGAAGTTTGCCGTACAGCTACATTTGTTACAGTCATTTATTTCTAGCAGCTAATATTTCTCGCTGTAGCGCCTAAGTTTAACAGCGAATAAATTTAGCTTCAGTAGTATCGACATTAGCTGTCCCTTTTTCAGTGGCACATCTTATCTGCCATAGCTATTTTTTAGCTAGTTCTTTTTTTGCGTGTAGATGGGCGGAGCCAAATCGTTCAGAAATTCAGAGTAGACTATACTCAGAGTTGACTCTTATAACTTTAACTTCAAGGAGGGTCACAGAAGTAAGTTCGAACCGCGCAAATTTAAATAGGTAACGCTCTTGGAATTTGGTTTGTTCGTGTCATAAGGCAATTTTTGGCAATCGTTTGATACATGCACTAGGTTGTTTTTTGGCTAGTTTACATCAAACATTTGATATATGTATTAACGTCCTTACGTTGCGGTGATTAAACCGAGACTAAATCATCAGACTATATCATCAACTATATATATCATTTGTAGATAACTCTTCCCGTTCCAAAATGCTACGTTACTCTCTTTTACCTCGTTTTCCCATCACTAAGGGTTCCATAGAGTTGACCGAGTAGAGTTTTGGAACGCAGCCCAGGCGATCATATGATTTGAATCTCGGCGTCGCGGCTGAAAGTCCATCAGATCTTATATTTGCGAAGGTTCTTCATTCAGTTGCTTCAACCGCAAACAAATTCATGCAATGCGTACATCTTAGAGGAAACAAACTGGAGCAATTTATCTTTTTCTTACAACGAATATTGTTCAAGTGTCGATACTTTTAATAATCGTTGGAGTGCTTGAAGTAAGAAATCAGATTTTTCAAATTTTGTAGATAAAAATTTTTTAGATATTGTACTTGCAGTTAACAGTTCTTTATAGCTGCTGCAACTGTAAAATAAATTTATGTAATGCGTATATTTTAGAGGAAACAAACTAAAATTTGTTTTTTTCTTACGACGAATATTGTTCAAGTATCGATGTTTCTAATAATTTGGATGCTTGAAGTAAGAAATCAGGTTTTAAATTCCGTAAACTTTAAAAATATTTTAGATATTGCATTTGCAACGGTTCTTTATAGCTGCTTCAATTGTAAAATAAATCCATGCAATGTGTATATTTTAGACAAAACAAAAGCAATTTAATTTTTTTTTATAAATATTATTCAAGTGTTGATATTATTAATAATCGTTGAAGCGCTTAAAGTGAGAAATCGGACTTTCAATTTTGTAGCTTTTAAAAATTTTTTGGATCTCACGATGATTCTTTATAACTGTTTCAACTACAGAGTCAATTTATACACGATGTTATTATAGCGGAAAATCGGATTTTAAGGCTCCTGGGTATTCGCCAGGGAACTCTGGATTGATGACGTCAGAACCGAGAAAATGCATCCAAAATTCTTGCATGCCATTCTCAGATAAAAAGATATTTGTATGAAAGAACGCTTCTGTAATCATTTAAACATATCTGTAAAATGCTCTAATAATTATTCTCGTGACAATCAAGAAATAGTTATAAAATTAACGTGGCTTGCAACTTTCCTCTTTAATTTATCTTTCTTCATGATCTGGCCACGTTTATTTTACGGCTATTTATCGACTATCAAGGAAAAAGAATAGTTTTCGACATATTTTGCAAGTATACTCAAGCGACCTGATGTGTTCTTTCACTTGGAAAAGGCACGCAAGTATTTTCAGCGTACCATTTCTCACTTCTGACGTCACAATCCAGTAGCCGCAACGAGTAGCCAGGAGCCTTAAATTGTATGGATTCGCAAGGAAAAGGATCGAGGAAAAGGATTTTCACTTCTTCTTAGCGCAGTAAAGTCAAAGAAAGTGGCGCTAAAAGTTTCCCATTGACTTTATTCATTCAATAAACGCATTTTTACGTTACAGATAATCGAGCAGGATCCTTACTGGGTACCATCTACGGAAGAGGAATATCTTCATTTCGGTGAGAAGGCAGACTGCGCTAATCGAGCGAAGAGTTACATGGACGCGGTTCGTCGAAGGAAAGGCCTTCCCGTGGATTCTCAACTGGTCACACATGCCGAAAAGCAACGTACACTTTCCAAAAATAAGTGATGCGAAGTTCTTCCGCGCTCGAGCATGCCTATGAAATTCTTTATTTCCGACTACGAAATAAATACGAAAATGGATCAGATTTTCACCTTCGCCAGCGTCGTTATTATAATTAACGCTTGCGGACACCGGTTCTCAGGTGTTTATTTCTAATTGGCAATAAATTGCGTTTCGCCGTGCAATGCAAGACTTGCGTTCACATATGTACATATTTTATTTCATCTCGCTTTCCGTTGAGCAATGTTTGACTAAACACTTTCATTGCTCACAAGTAAACCTACCCAAGTGTTACGCTCCGATGAGCTTTTAACATGCTGTAGTCTAGGTCTATAAGAATAAGAGACACATTTTTTTATACGTGCCGATAAGAGGGTGAAACACTCTCTTGAAAAAAATCGATTTTAATATTTCTGAGCGAGTATTATCGGAACGGTAAATAATACAAAAAAAAGTTTCAAATAAAAGTTTTATGGATTTTCATGAGCTTTATAACAATATACTTAGATTTTATAAAATTAAGGAGGGAAAAGGGATTTCGAACAAAATGATATTTTCGAAAAATCTGAATGCATTGTTAAAATCCATAAAACTTTTATTTGAAACTTCTTTTTGTATTATTTACCGTTCCGATAATATTCGCCAGAAATATTAAAACCGATTTTAAAATTTCATGTATAAAACAATATGTGTTTCTTATTTAGACTTAAACTACAGCATGTTAAAAGCTTGTCAAAATCGGAGTGTAACATTTGGGTAGGTTTACTTGTCAGTTACATATACACATCGCAATGTAATATATATTCGTATAACGCATCGTGTACGTAAAACAGGGTAGTTTTGAGCGTCGATCGACTTGCGAACAAAACCAGTTCGCTATGCGCGCGTTTGCGGTTTATGATTCGATCCGAGAGCGTCTAATCTAGAACGCTGCGCGCAAATCGAAGGGATTCGAATTAGATGCACGAGGAACGCGCGTCTTCAATTACGTATGCGAACCTTGACCATTGCTCACACGTCCGTACGTTCGTAAGTCGCGCTGACGCCTGTATATAGGAACGGAGATATAACGACTGAATGATATTTTATTTCCGATAAGATTAAGATCTAGGAAATCGAAGAGAAAATACACCATAATATTATTGCAACAGTCGTGTACATACTATGTACAATAAATATACGCGTAATACTTTGAGATAAATGTACATATATATATATATATATATATATATATATATATATATATATATATATATATATATATATATATATAT